TTTTTTATATAAAACTACGAAGGTGAACATAACAAATAAAATTATTTGTACCTCAACTGCATTGTAGAACTAAATATAGTAAAATATAGACATGCATTTGCATAGTAAATGAGTGGGATTGTTACTTCTGCTGATCCTTGAAAATCTGTACCATAGGAATTTAATTACTAATACAAAGCGTTGAAATCATATTACGATAACTATATTTCAAAAGTAGTAAGTTTATTATTTAACACTGTAACTGCAGTTTTGCAAAAGTCATATAAAATAAACATTGACCAAATATTTATTAAATTATGTATTAAGTAGTATTCCGAAAGTGCACGTATATTTTACTTAGCACATCAATTTTTTGGGAATTCGTAGCTCTGACTTTTATTACATCTTTATTACATCGGGAAAGAGGACTTTTAATTTAACAATTTTGTTGAAACGGAGCTTTTTGAAATACTGTTTTGATTAAAATAATTTTTATGGCAAGAAGCTGTAAAATAATAATATACGGAAATTGTCAATATATAATGACGTCTTACAATAATTTATAACATTTCATCTATATAATATACAACAAAATGAACTATTAAAATCCACGTAGAACTTATGTTTTCCCGTATATAACAAAAATCTCCCTTATGAAGTAAACTGCATGAGATAACAGAATGCTTGTGTCATTGTAAATTACTTGCAATCGACCACCATTAAATTCTAATGTGCTGAGAAATTTCGTTAAGATGCTTTTTGAGAATATAATTATGTCCGATAATATTCAATAAGAATAAGGTACTTTAATCACGTTGACGTAGTCAGTGTGCAATACTTCGATAATAAATTGTACATATTAGATTAATAAGTTTTCATACTGACCATACGAATACTACATATTTCCTTGGAAATAATTAATATCCCTTTATTGGCAAGTATACTCAATAGCCTTAAGGTATTCACCAATGTAAACCAGAAGATGGCCGATTTGACTAGACTACGATCTTAAAGTGGTAATTCTCAACGATATTTCTATAGAAGCGCTCGGTCAGGTCACTCTATGTGTCAGCTCCATTGTATACATATATATTACAGTTTATAAATTCTAATTTAAACTAGGATTTCGTCCTACGTCCCACTGTATCTCAATCCTTGGCCACTTTGTTTGCAAGACCGTCAGCATAGGATTACTATCCATGATACATTTTACAGTACACTCGAGCAATACCGCTTGTCCTTTGTGATATTTCACTCTATTTTCCGGATTGCTACGCTGTAGACCATTGTAGTGATATAAGACGAACATATCTGGGCACATACGTGGTTCTTCAGGAAAGAATTCATCCATAAACGATGCGAGAAGTATTATTCCTAAATTTTCATAGTCCAACTTCTTCCGCATGATATCGACACTATAAGAATATTTCGATATAAAATTTGCTAAAGCTATCAACAATTAAAATTAAAGTCAAATTTAATATAAATAATTTTACACACATACACACCCATTAATGTAAAACATAAACTAAGAAAGAGTGCGAATACATACTATTCAGCATCGGCTACTAGTCCTAATTCTGCCAATACATCCTGTAGTAAATTTGCCGCAATAAAGTTGTTTCCTTCTGGGTCAAAACGTTTGAAAATTCTTCGCGCTTGTTCCGATGGTGTCTCTGGACTCACTAATCGCTTCTCAGTAGAGAAAAGTACAGTTAAATGCGTATCTGATCCTAACACCCAGATCGGATGCGACGGTGATTTTAAAAATGTGCCCACTTCACAATACCGTAAGTGCTCCAACAGAGTGAGAAATCCTACTGTATTCTGTTTATCAATACCGCGTAATTCTGCAAAATACGTAATATATTGATGTAGAAAAAATAATTAATACGTATAAATTAAAATGTACATAGAATTGAGATGACAAAGTAATCAAATTTAAAGAGATAGAAAAATTAACTCACTTAATCCACTAATATCTTGATCGTGATCCCAGACATGACTAACTGCCCGGCCAGTAAGCATTAAATTTATTAAACTTTGGCTTCCATATCCATAGGTAGAATCAATCATGGGTTCTGTGGGATCCGACATTTCGGAGCATATTTCTGAAACTCCTTTTGTACATATCACTGTATAAAGTAGCAGTAATATACCATACTGATCTTTTAGCATTCCAATTCGTTCCGTAAAGAAATCTTCTACATTATCGATGCTATTTGTAGTAAATATCCTATAATATCGATCAATAAAATATCAATTAATAACAAAATATTAAAAAATGAATTTTTTGTTACATTATTTTCTAGCATAAACTTACCTTAATTGAGAATGAAAAGCTTCCGATTCTAATAATGCTTGTTTCGTAGCTGATGTATCGTTAATTTGATTACCTTCGCTAATATCTTGGATTGGATTTGCCATTAACTCGGCTGATTTAGAATCAGTGCCTTCTTTGCTAGATACAAAGCCATCAGAATCATTGGCGTATACTACTGAATATTTAGGATCCTGAATATCAGCTGCCTGATTTATAATTTCAATCATGGCTTTCACAAGTAATTGATCACATTTTTCGGCTTTGATACCCTTCCAAGTTATAACATCGCTCTCCAATAGTAACTGCTTCAAAATAAATGCTTGAACCGCAGCTATCACAGCGCAAGGTCCTCCTTCTCTCTGTACAAGCGCAGTAGGTTCATCTATACTGAAATAGAAGCCTAAAGCAAAATTAAATAATGTAACCACAATTAGAAAATGCAGTAGTATATTTATAACATTTCTAGAAGATCTATGTGTTACATTTTGTATAGGTTATATAAGAGGTTATACACGAGTACTATTCAAACTTTGTTCATTATTAAGTTATCAACTAAATCAATTGTGCAGTGCTGCTAAGTAAATACTTTTATATAGAATAATTAGGCAAGGCAAAATGAATGAATTTTTATAGGTTGTCTTTCATAAAAATTGTTACAGTTGACCGGCCAATGGAACAGTGCGATAGCCACCGTATTGCGGAGCAAAGCATCAGTACCTTGCGCCCATCGCTTGAAAACGTCCTCCTTGACGATCAAACCCCATAAAAGCGTTTTAATATTTTTTAGGAGCTCGTCGTCGCCTGCGATGGCATTATCGGCCATTATCTTCCGGATGCGCGCGATAATACGGGAGATTAAAACGCGCCGTGTACACGAATCTTATCTGGAACTAATCATAATATTTTCCGACACTATTAACTTCACGTTAAGTCCTGAATTATCGGTCGCATATAGGAACCACCCGATAACCTATTTTGCACAACAGAAACCTGCCAAGTACGTCGCCATTTTGAACCGTTTTCTCTTTCACGTGAAGTGCGAACAAAGATGGATTCCTTTCCGCGACGACGCGCACTCACGGAACAATCGATATATCGATTGTTTTTGAATTCGAATTCAAAAGTTGAAATGACTGGTTAAATTGTGATAGACGAGAATAAAAAACAGAATAAAAAAAGATTTTCACCGTATAAACACACATTATTTTACAAGCATTTTGATCTTTTACGTACATAATATGAGTGCTACAATAGAAGTTGTAACAACCATGGAATTTTAAATCGTATAAAATTAATCAATATGTATAGTTGATTATTCTTCTCATATTTAACTGTGATTAATTTTCTGCGATCCAACGTAATAAACGTAAAAAATCATTATATTATAATAAATTACTTTATAATAATAATCAACGTTTTCCAAAGGGGAGAGAATGATCTTTAAACATTTAAAAAACGTTTAAGAAACATTAAAAAACGTTTTCTCTCCCCATTGGAGAATAATGTTTTCTTATTTTTTCATCTGTCGCTCTTTTTCATTGAAAAGTGAAAACATGTATGGTCTTTTTGTTATATTATTGTAAGATATATGAAAACTTTTATAAAAATATTACGAAACGTACATGTACTTAATGTTTTTTAAAACGTACATATACTTAATGTTTAAAAATTTTTACGTCTTACGTAGATTAAAGAAAATGACCGACGTAGAATATATTCATTTTTGTATCGTTTCCTTACGTAAAAGTATAAATGGAAACCAATTTAAATAATACATTTTTACAGTTTACTAAATTAAATGACTAAGGCCTGATTGCACCAACGTGATTTCAATTTTAAGCGGAACTTAAACTGTCTCTGTCTCTGTCTCCTTTTCGGCTTTAAAACGAGATAGATAGAGTTTTAAGTCTCGCTTAAAATCAATAAGCATTGGTGCAACCGAGCCTAAGATATATCATGCATATCCTTCCTCCATCTTTCTCATTTTTGTTTCTGCTACTTGAGAGATAATACTATCTCTTTAAATAAGAAAAAAACTGACGAAGTAATTAACAAAATATTTTCTAGTACGATAATCTTCTCAAATTATCGTGTAATTATGTTTGTAATATTATTTGTTAACCTTGAACAAGTTAATGGTCTTGATTTTTTATAACAGCGTATGTAGCAATACACATGAATAGCAAAAATATCTTTTACTTTGTTACTTCGTAATGAGAAAAGATAAGTAACCGCGTCTACGTAAAACATGCGTCTACACGTCTACGTAAAAAGTGGATTAGTTTAAGAACTCTTTTCAACGTTAGACGAAGTCTCGCGTGAAAAATTTAATATTTATTTTATTTCTCTAATATTTATTCTATTTCTAATTACAAGATCGGTTTAAAGTTGCTTCAACAAGACGGATATATAGTTTATTGTTTGTATTATTAATTGAAATATACTTCAAGTATACCGTTATAGTGAATGATTGTGCTAATATTTTTAAAAACTTTGCATTTAAACATATTATAGTTTTGTGTTTATTTTAAAAGCAACTTGTACACACATTTCATCCATAAAGAGTACTGTCATTCATGTACTATCGAAGAAATTGCAATATAATGCCTTTGTGACTGAGATAAAATAGAATATAGATGATCCAAAACTATTTTGTGACATATTTTCACAAGACAGTAATAATATGGCAAATGCAAGAATGTATTTGCGATTGAATGTACAAAGAGAAGTTCTCCTTTTGGTATATGATCAAGCTTATTTATATATATATTTGATAGCATTATACCATACATATTTAATGGCATAAAGAAAAGAGATAATCTATAATTAATGTGGTTTACTATAAAAATTTTATGAATTGATCTTTTTAAAATGTTGCGAGAAGTTCAGACTTCTAAAATCGCAAACACAAGAAAAAGCAGATACTAATTTAGTTTTTAACACAATAAAAATGAAAGTTAAAATAATATAAACTATCATATTTAATATTTTAATTTTTTATATGGTTGCATTATTTGTTGCAGTTTCTTTACACTGTTATTTGCAATTTAGCTTTAATGAATGCAGGAGCCACTTTAGGTTACTCCTCCGTAGTACTTCCAGTACTGACAAGTAATATGTCATCAATAACTTTAAACGCAATGGAAATCCCTTTTTTCGGTAACTGTTTTTATATTTAAAAAAAGTTTAGTATTTTATTATTATATAAATGCAGCATACTCAAGAAATTATGTGTTATATATATGTCATATTAGCATACATTTTGCAATAATTTCTGTAATATTATATTTTTTTTATAAATATATAATTTTATAACAAAATATTAAAATTTTCTAAATAAATCCAGTTTTTTTAAATCCATTTTTGTGGGGCACCATATTAATATTTTATTCTTCTCCGACCTACTATGCTGTTGTCACTAAATTTTTGTAAATAACGCGTTTTAGTTTTAAGTAATAAATATTTCATAAACTCTTTGAAAATTAGTTAAACAATATATTAAACAACATAATCATTACGTCTTTAATTTAAATATTGATTATTAACAAAGATATTGTAAAAATGTAAATGATTCTAAAATATTTAAAAATATGACTTCAATAACTCTGAAAAGCACCGATTTACGCAAATATTGTAAAATTTTATCTAGCTTCTACGGTATCTATCACCCAAACTATCGGTTGTCTCTTATGCCTTATTATAATGAACTATGGAAGACGATGTACCATGATAATATGTGGTGTAAATTTCTCTTTGGGATGGATCCTCATTGCGAGTAGTTATAATGTGATACAGCTCTTCATCGGTAGAATACTAACAGGTGAGAAATTCGTCGAATCGAAATCAGATTTCTCCTACATTTAACGCATGATCAACTTCTCTTATCAATACGATGAGTACAATTAAAAACAGATGTGTTATTAAACAGTTAATTGAAGATATAAAAGATGAAATGCAACTTCAAGTATTTTTAGAAATCATTAACAGATAATTAAGGAGGTAGTCTAGTTTGGAGACGTAGTTTTTTATGGATTTTTCCTCTAAATTGAAAATATCTAGTATATTGGCGTTTTAATACATTTTTATTTTTACAAAAATTTGACTTATATTCCTTATTATTAATACAAGATTGAAGAAGTAAAACTCAGCAAGAATAATTAATTAATGACACGGACTAGACGATACTTTGCTTCTTGGCCAGCTAAATTAACTAAAATACCACCTTAAATATTCATTCATGTAAGTAGTTTAAATCTACAAAATCATGTTTCCTCTCTTGTTTCTCCGTCCTTCTCTCTTTCACTCTCATTCACTCTAAGACTGCTATTGGGAAAATTTTTCTCAAATATTATTATCTTCAACTGTAAACGAGTTATATAAACAATAATAACACGATTTTTCGCTTATATTATGTGTAATTGTTATTGCTTGAAATTTAAGAGTAATTATTAATTAATTAAATTATTGAATTAAATAGGCGCATATTTTATAAACGCAATTTTTTAATGTAAAAAGGAAAACAAAATCTGCTTCAAACTGATATTATCTTCTTAATATCAAGGCAAACATGAACAATCCATAGGAGTGTTTTGCAAATTTCCAGGAATTGCCATGGGTATATGCGCAGCTTCTGTTGAAATATATTTAGCAGAAATCTCTATTGCTTCATGGAGAACAGTCATTACAGTTACACCGAAAATAGCTCTTACCATCGGAATTCTGATCGTTTATCTTCTAGGATTTGTTATACAGGTAAGAGCATTAAATAATTTTTATTAATAAGAATTTGGTTGTCGAGGTATATCGGTATGTGTCCAATCGTTTTTCGGCAGTCGAAGAATCTACTTATATCTCGGTTGTCCAAAACGATTTTGTTTGCCTGACTTAAAATCCACGCAACTTTCCATTTCTTTTATTTTTCCAATGCAGCGTTCCTGTCAGGTCCCACGATTACGTCGCAACCTGGCCTCCAACAGCTGTATCAATAATTCGGCTAAATAGAATAAGTGCTGTGATGCACTGTAATTCAAACCTAGATTTATAATTTCATATCATTTAAATGTTTCATGCTTTTATTCGTATTGAGACAACAGCGATAAGTTCGTCATAAAGCAATAAAAATTTCATTGATAATTAGACAAAATTAATAATTATATGTTATCTCTACTACAGAATTCCAATCAAACTATATATGTATATAGTTTGCTTGAAATTTTGTAAAGCGCCTGTTGAGAAATTTTTTCATCAGAAGGGTTATTTTGATAAATTTGATACAGATTTGGTTTTATATGAGATGCTGACGAATATCAGATAAAACATGAGAGAAAATCCTTACATGACTTGAAAACAGATTGATGATAGAAATCGAGCAGACTTGCATATAGTTTGACGCAGATTAATAGAAGAAATTGAGCAAAATCTACGTTTGATAAGTTTTGTTCGATTTATGTTGTCAATCTGCCGCCGAATTATGTCGATAGCCCGTCAGAACAAGAGCTTATAGATAAGACACAGCAATACCAATCTGAGTTTAAATTTTTTAAATCAAATTTACTAATTTACTGCTATTCTAACAATAAACAATTGGTTTATATGAATGTTATTTGAGTGTATTTACTATCGATTTTTAACATTTTTATATAAATAATACAATTAATATTATTAATGCAATAAATATATGTATATGACAATATATATTTATTACATTAATATATGTATATGTATAATAAAATATAAGTATAAATATACATACATACTTATATTTTGTTTTATTTACATTTATATTTTATTAAAACACATTTATATATTATTTCAGAATAACTGGAGACTAATAGCAGCATTTTTTATCATACCCTCCATATTGTTTGTCCTATGCAATATTTTCTTCATCCACGAGAGCCCTGAATGGTTGCTTTTGAAAGGTCGAAAGGAAGAAGCTAGGATTGCTCTACTTTGTATCCGTGGTCTGCGTCAGGAAACTGTAGAGTTCCATGAAGAGTTTGTCCAAATGACAAACTATATCGAGTCCTCAAATAAATTTGAAATATCTCAAAATTGTCGAATAGATCTCTCCTTGACTAAAGAAACCGGACACAGGTCGTTTCTTATCTGGAATGTGTGGAACATGCTAAAGAAATTCCGGAGAACGATCCTTCTACCAGAAGTGTGGAAACCTTTTGTGATATTAAATCTTTATTTACTTTTTCAGAAGCTTTGTGGGCTGTATGTGATTATATTTTATACTGTTGATATTATCACCAGGATGAATATAACAACAGATCCCTTTCTCATCACTGTAATAGTAGGAATAATTCAACTAGTAGGCAATGTAATTACCGCGTGCTGTAGCAAAAGGTAATTATTTTTGTTTGTAGTACAGTCTACAATTATATACAAACTTATAAATTATTATGAATCTACGTAATACACCCATATATAAAAGATCAAACATCAGTAGTTGGATAAAAGAATTACTAATAATCGACAATTCAGTAATTGCGTAGTTATGGATATTAATTAACGAAAATTTAATAATGAATCTAATATTTTAAACGTTTCAAACTCAATAGTCGGGATTTTTTACGAACTTTTGTAATTAATCTGTAGATTGCTTTATTAAAATGATCATTATAGGTACTCGTTACGATATATCTTTTAAAATGATAGATTCCAGAGACTTATATGATAAATTTTGAAATTTTACTAGAATTGGACGTCGAACTATTACAATTGTATCTGGTATTGGTATATCGATCTCTTTGGGTACTTTAGCAGTTTACCTACAGTTCTTTGAGGACATTGGTGTTGCAACTATTCCCATTGTTTGCATACTTCTCTATGTGGTACGAAAATGATGTTTTCATAAATATCCGTGTTTTAATAGTTATGATTTTTATTAAGAAAGTTATAGTTATTACAATGACTTTGGTACAAGTCTAACGTAGAGAGAGAGATTAGATAAGATGTTATTTTTTCTTTTCGAAAGATTTTCTAAAAAATAAATTGTAAATATTATAATTGGTTATAAAAGAATTAATCTCTAAATCGCAGGGTTTTGGATCATTTGGATTTTTTTCGATTCCTTGGTCCATGATTCCGAAACTGTATCCTACCAAGTATGTAAACGTTCTCGGACAGCTTACTACTTTCATTTCTCTTGTGGGCAGCTATATCGTCGTACAATTGTATCCAATAATGATAACACATGATAGAGATGCTACCATTTATTTTTACTGCATAATGTCTGTCATTGCTACTTTTTTTCTAATGTTTACGTTACCGGAGACACTAGGAAAGACGAAAACACAGATAGAAGAAGCTTTTAAGGGCAAGTTGCAGATAGATGAAACCATTAAAAAAATTGAAGATACATAATAAACGAATCATTGAATAGTTTAATGTTGCTGAAGCAATTTATGCAAATTAATGTAAGGTGATATAAGTTTGCAAGGAATGTACACAATTATATAATTTTATCATTGACGACAATACATTTTTTACACTATGGAATTTTACATTATTGACATTAGTTATTACACAATTTTTAACAATGTAACCATCTTTTAACACTTGTTTAACGTTTTATTTAAGATTTTTATAACAAAAATTATATAAATTTTATTAGATTTTTATTTTACTGTTATTGGATTAACTTTTACATGATGGACTACAATTTCAAGATGCGAATTTCCTGACATTACATTTATTTATTTGAGACACCGAAATTTTATAACACATATTTGTTACATTGAAGATGACCCGATCGGAGTCGAAACGTCTGTGTGTATTAAATTTTAAATTTTATATTATACTTAAGGAGGGGGTAAGGTATTTTAACTTCTTTTGACTATCTTTTTTTAATTTTTTTCTCTGAATGTACAATGTCTCAAAATTATTATGTGAAAATTTGAAGCCGATCGGAGCAAAATTATCGGAGATATGGAATTTTAAGTGTCCGTTGCTCCGATTCGATTTCGTATACCTGCCCAGTAGCTGGGCGAAGCGGTTGCCTAGCAGCTGTTTCGTATGCGAATAACTTTTTTTCTTCTGCTGTAAACGAAGAAAAAGAAGCAATGTGCAGAGCAAATAATATACAAGATACATCGATGACTCTGTGTCAGTACAGACAAAACACTCGGTCATTTCTACTGTACAAAACTTTAAAGCATTTTTGTCACACTTAGCATTTTCCAAGTCGGTGCACACTGTAACTCAAAATCTACTGCACCGATCGTTTTAAAATTTGGTACACTCTTTCTACACATAAATGACAAGGTAACGCTGTCGAGTTTTCATTTTTTTAGTAATTATTATTTATTTTACAATAACAAATTTACCGATTTTTTATAGCAAAAATCGATTTTTTACTTCCAAGTGATACCAAAAATTTAAAAATCGATTAAAAAAAAAACTCGACAGCGTTACCTTGAGAAACTTATTAACTAACTAAAAAATTTTGGTTTTTTGATATCAGATGATTCAGTAACGTGTTATCGTGTGCACCGCAAGACACCATTTTTTCGACGCGCCTCCGAAAATTGCGTGCCAATGTGTTGTTTCTCCATTTTTTTCGTTCAAATTTTCACAAAACATTCTTCAAACATTGTATTATTAAAATAAAATTACCTAAATACACTGGAACTAACCATAGCTTACAAAAAAATTCATGGATATATGCTTTTTTTTCATCGAATTAACCTTACCCCCCCCTTAATTTGAATATTTCTTTGCGTTCAGTATTTGGCTCATTGCCCTTATTATTACTCCTTTTGAATTATATAATTTTTATTATATTATTATTATTATATTGTTATATATAATTATTATTCTTTTACGGCAACATAATGAAAATTAATTACATAATTGTATGTAATTGTAATAATAGTATTTTTTACCTTTTATTTTCGATATTTCAACTTTCAGGCAGTAAAATTTGTCATAAGTTCCACAAAGTCATAATAATTTACGAATATTATAAAATAAAAATTATACTCGCGATTATTTTTTCTCTTAAATAAAGCGTCGCCTTAATTAAAAATCATTTAGTGTCGTACGTTGTATATTTTCGCTTTTTCTTATCGGCTGCTATTATACAATCACTTTTAAACTCTTTTTATCATTAAATTTTTTACAAAAAAGAATACTCTGCATTAAAGTATATATAGCATTGTTATAATATTGTTTCAATGAATCGTCTTACATGCATATTTAAATATTAGATGAACACGGGGTATTTTTATTTTATATTTAGATAGCAAATATATTTTACTGTATTATATGAACGACTACAAGAATTCTATACGTGATATATTGGATGATTTGTTTGCGACTTTACTTTCTAATATGATAAAATTCTGTAAATTTATTACTTATATATCTACTAATTCCCAAAATTCTAATTAGAATTGTAAGATTTGTAATATATATTCTTGTGTAAATCTTATAAGTACTCATATTTTTATACAAATATCTTTACAGACAGTTTCTTACGGGATTTACATAAGATTTACAAGAAATCGTAGGTATTTAGTAACATTCGTACGTCTGACGTACGATTTTAGATTCTGTCACAAAGTAGTCTTCCTTGGTGATTCAATTTCAGAGCAGCATTTTAATATTTTTGAGGCGGTTGTCATTACCTGCGATAACATTATCGGCCATTTCAGGGGATTTGGTGAGACAATGTAAAAATGTATAATTTTACCTTGTCCTTAGCTTATTTAATTTATACATTACAAAAATGTATAAATAGTATACTCTCTGACAATGAAATTATAAATATTCTAGTAAATTCGTTGGTTTTTTTATTTTTACCTTATTCTAAAATATAAAATCGATCCGCTAATGAGTACAATAAAACGGAAAATTGAAATCCGTGACGTCAACATGGTAAATGTGTTGATGAATTGCATAAAAGAATTACTAATTTTATCTATATGTTAATAAAATAATATTTTAATTTTCCAAAAGGAAAACTATCAATAACATTCGAGAATATTCTGAGAATGTTTTATCAGGCTGGCCTATAGGAACACCGTGGGACCGATTAGATATATGAACACGAGGTGGTATATATTAGGAATAGTGAAGCAAACGTGAACATACAGTTTTAGTAGTACCCAAGTGTGAGAACAATGAGAGGATCTTGATTTCGAATCTCGGCTCCGTTAATTTTCTTGTTGTCTCAGTCTAGATTTATAGAGAAGAAGGTAAGCCTTCGTTGGATCTTACTTTAAAATCTATTACAATCAATAGACATTCCTTGAACAAAATTTTTAACTTTAAATTCTAATTATAACTTTAAATTATATTTTAAATTACATTTGAAATTTTAAAAAGTCAAAATCTGGAAGGTGCGTGTATTTCCTTGTAAGACTAATATTGCATTTGTCGCAGGACAAATATAATACCAATCTAAAAAAGCAGAGCATCTCAAAGTGAGATAAGTACAACACGTCAGGAAGCATCTCTATCGTTTGGAAAATATGTTCGCGAGACGAATAAAGGTGCGTAATCATATACGTCATTTCTTATTAAAATGTCAGGAAAATTATTACAATTGAAAATAAATAATTATATTTTACCATAAAATATTCTTCCACTTGTAAATAAATTTCAATCCCCAATAAACCACGGTTGGCGAATCATGAAAGGCAATTCCGATCAAAGGCTCCAGAATGGAAACCGTCGTAGAACTGTGATAGAATAGAAATGATAGAGCTATATGTAAATGTAGATGTAACGGCGTGAACACATCGTCAGCGTTATTTTGTCCTCGAGCACGCATTTCTACGCTAATCACGTAATTAAATTCCGCCAGACCGGAGGACCTAACGAGTCATAATTGCTGCTGAAGTGCTTGCGTGTAATCTTACATACTTTGTGACAGTTCCAAGGACTTACGAGCTGAATAAAGCGAGATCTAGACGCGGAAGTAGCAGTTGCCGTTTGCTATTCGCGTACTCGCGTAACGTAATCGTGCAATTGTAATCGAAATGAACGCGACTATCTATCTATCAATTGCGTCAATAGAATCCCTTTTCTTCTATTAGTACACATAAAAAATTTTGATTCCACGGTTATGTAAGTCAAGACAAATTATAATAAGACGTACCCCTTTTCAATACAAAAGAATTAGAAATGAGCTGCAACCTTTCGCGTGGCTTTTAGAGTTTGTACGCGGACGGACAACTCTTATAACCCGTCTCTGGGTAACATAATAAGTAATTCACAAATATTCGAAAATATTACAAGTTGCAAAAATGAAATGTCTAAAATGTATTAAATCGGCAATAAAAGCAGACTTAAAAAAATTTATTATATTCTTTTAGAGCGTGCAATTACTGGTCTTATACTGTATCGTTGTACAAAGCCACGTTATACCTGAAGATGAATTGACAGAGACCAAGTTATGCGCAAAATTAAAGGTATTCAAACAAACTACGACGAGCGCTAATAATAATATTTTTCGGATAAAGTTGCGTTTCAAGACCGACGATTGTTCGGCGCGCAAGTTGGGAAGGGCTGGGGTAACACATATATTACTAATGAAAAATATTGCGAAGAATATTACTACGTCGTCGACTCGCCATCAGAGGTCTATCGATATTCGCAAATTCTCGCAATTGCTTTAATACGCGTATATCTCTTCATATAGAATCTCAATTGAATAACCCTTGCCGGCGTATAAGGTAGGCTTCCACTACAGTGCCTTACTGATGAGTCTAGTAGTGGAAGTCCAGTACTGGGACGAAACGGCATAATTATGTAATATTCTTCGCAATATATTAAAAATTAATTTAATAGGATTTTTAACGTAAGAGTTATTTGCTCATTGCCCTCTTTCTCTATATTATTTGTTTTAATAATAACATTAATGACAAAAATTACAACACATTATTCTTTAAGCCTGATCAAAAGAAATATACAGATCTTCTATTGTTTATGAATGGAACCGATACAGTGTACCATCGGTACAATATACCGACAGGTAAGAAAAAAAAACTCTTTTTTCTCCACAGAAAGTAATATCGTGCCAAAATGAAAAAGTATTATTTTACAAAAATTTCAATTTATTACACAGATTTTAACAGAATCGAAATGATAGAACTTCTAAAAGAACTCGCCTTTTTAAATGGATTCAAAATACTGAATGTAGAACCAGTCACAATAAGATCAACCAAAAAACCAATTATAGATATAGAACCAATCACAAGTGATGACAGTGACATAGAAACGTCTAGTGAGATCTTTCAGTCTCCATTATCTCCAAAAGAGGAAGATGAATTGACAGAGACCAAGTTATGCACAGAATTAAAGGTATAATAGTATTTTTCGGATAAAGTTACGTTTCAAGACCGACGATTGTTCGGCGC